GAATCAAAATCCAAATCGAATAGGGCCCATTTCGCACACCCTTAGTACTAATGTCCCGCTGAAGGCCAGTGGGCTAATTCTTGAGAGAATTTGCTCCTCATCTTGGCGCTGACAACTCACCCCTTCCAGAGGTGACTCTTTTCTTTTAGTAACTATGAGAAACATTTTACCTTTGAGTGGTAGATATTTCCTAAAGCTTTTCTTGTGGGAACAATTCCACATACACACCCTTCATCCAGTTCCGTTTCTGCAAGACAATCTCTTGTCTGCATCTATCAATAGACACTATATATTTCAAGAATTTAAGTATTTGTGGCATTATTTGCTTAGTAAAATGTATTTACCAGTTTTTGCACCCTTCCTTGTTATGGGCATGAACCATTTAATTTGCTGAGGGAAAACATGGATTTCTCAATCTCTCACCTTCTTTCCCTGCAGTGATGTAGCCTAAGTCTACACATGTGTTTTATGTTAATCAGGGCTGTGAAGAGGTGATCCATGACCAACATGGTAACCCCAAAACTATTGTAAATGTAGACCAGGAGAACTGTTTTTACGAGAATAGCTTGTTTTGCTTGTGGGATTTGCTGTACTGGGAGAAAGCACAGCCTGGCCTGTATGGCTGCACCCATATGGGGAGCATCTATATGTTGGTAAAGTGCACCTCATGTAGACATGGCCACACACTCCTGTTTACAAGGGGATTATTACAGACTAAAGAGAGTGTGTTGAGGAAAGGGTCCTTAATAATCCCTTAGCAGCACATTACCCTTATAAAGTGAGACAGACTTGTAATGCAAAACTGACAAGAGTTTGGAAATTCAAAGTGTGAAAGTGGTATTTGGGACTGGTGGTCTGTCTAGTAGCAATATTGCTTACTGCCAGGCAGAAGACTTGCATTGCATTTCCAACACTACACTTTCAGTGGTCAAGCTGCATAAAAACGTGATGTTTTGATTCCCTTGTGATGTATTTTTTCCCCAACTTCTTTGACATTAAGATCATAGGGTAACAAGTATACTGGGCTTCCCAACACACTCTGGAAGTAAGTAGTAAAAAAATTCCAATTATTTCCCAAACCAATTTTTCTGTAGAGCTGTTCCTAAAAGGCTCCATAACTGGAAGGTATTTTTTTATCTTCTTTTTATTCAAATGATTAAATTTGGGCAAGCTTTTGTGCAGAGATCTTGCGAAGAGCATTTCACTCCATAAGTTAAAGTGTCAAGAAGTTCTAATTGACTGAAAAGAGAGAATTAGAATATTACAATATAACCTTTAAATCAGTGCACTGCACTCCTATTAAAATGCATTCACTTTCCACCAGTCACAAGTTTTATTTAGCTCTCTCTGAACCCAGTGGAAAGACATCCCCAGGAGCTTCAACTATACTTGAAATGGGCCCCAAGAGTAATTTTTCTCTCCCTGACCGTGTCCCCTGAAGGTTTTTTTTTCCATTAAACTATTGCCATCATATTACAGTGACAGCTCAGAGGTACAGATATGCCACTCTACTATGCAGTGCCACATTAGCCTGTGCAGGTGTCTCTAAAAGAAACAATTATCAATTCTATGAATATGCATGGTAGAAATCTGCTGGGTGCCCGCTTGATAAAAACTTTATTTTGTGATTTCTCAGGATACTATTACAATTTACATTCATTAGAATGAGTTTATTTTGGTGTATGTAATGAGAAGCACTCCACTTTAATTGTTTGTTTTTCAGCTCCTATAGTTCTATTTTGATAGGACTTTGTCATGTAACTCCTAAATGAAGCTAAAGCAGTGATTACTGTACATCATACTTCATTGGTAATGACTAAAGACAATGCAATGTGAGATCAGATCTCTTAAAGGGAAAGATGGTTTTACTTTACTTTAGATATTTACCCCGTGCTTTTAAATATTCTCTTCTATCATTGTCATTGTGGAGTCTGCATTTTTGTTGCTGAATAATAACCAATAAGCTCATTTTTTTTATTTCTGAGATCAACTTTCTCAGTCATCTATGGACTCACTGGGCATCTATACATGCAATTAATTTGGGACAATAAACTCCTGCACATATCATGCCAGAGTTTTTTGCTCTCAGGCACCATGTTGACACATGTGCCTAGGACCATAGCACATTGAGCTGGATTAGAGCAGCCCCAGCTGGCAGATGGCCCAGGGGGGCAGCCTGCCAATCCGGGCTGTTCTAATCCAGCTCAATATGCTGTGGAGGGGTTGACTGGGGCATGAGGGTGTTTTAATGCAGGGGCTAGCTGGCAGGCAGCCCCTGCACCAAAGCACTCTCATGTCCCATCCAGCCCCACTAGCATCTATATGTGCACTGCTGCAGAGTAAAAAACTCCGCCATAGGTTAGTACTTGTTGTATTTACAAGTAGTAACCTGCAGCAGGGTTTATCAGTTTTCTCCAGTTTAATAGTCCTGCACATGTAGACACTGAGACGTTTACCACAGAGCTAATTAGATAACTGTAGTAAACGTCTTGTGTAGACATGCCCACTGATGACTTCTCTATTGATTAGAAGACTGTTTTCCTTGTATCGAAGGACTAATGACAACTATTAGAACATGATGTATGGTGATGTACGGGCTTGTAGAACCTTTGCAATTTTTAAATAATTTTTTAAAAAATCTTAAGCACCCTGTTGTAACAATGCTCCCATATCTTGTTGAGTCTCCTTCCCTGAACATCGTTTTTTCCATATATATGCTCTGCATGTGTATACATGCATGTTACATAGACACATATGCCAATTGGCATAAAAGCATGCTGTATATCCTTTAACTGGCTTAATCTTTGCTTTTAAGTTGGGTTTTAATCTTTGCTACATGCAACCTTTAAATGCTGTTTGAAATTCACTAGGGGAATGTGGTTGTAGCCATAGTTATTGCAAAGGAGGCAGGCAGATGGAAGTGTCATTCCAGATAATTAGATTGGAAAATGAACTGTCTGCAGTGGTGATAGCAGATGAAAGCTCCCCAGGAGCAACTGAGAGGTCAAAAGTGCTTCTTTTTAAAGCCACCTAGAACAAAGATATGGCTGAACTACAAGACTTCTTGACCTCTAACCTGCGGGCCATGTCCTGATATTTTGTGTGTATGGTATACTGCTGCAACCTGACAGCAAATGTAGCAGGCTCAGACAGGGCTGGATCCTACTATGTGCTGCACATCCTCCACTCAGCACTCCACCCCCTCAGGAAAGCGCAGTACTTTGCAGAATTGATCTGCTCGTCAAGACAATTTTTTTTACAGCAATTCCAAACAGTGTAGATGTTAATACAAGCTGTGTATTACAACAGCACAACTAGACAAAATGTCTTATACTGGGCTAAGATATCACAAGAGAAACCAAGATTAAATTAACTGATGCTACTTTATTGAATCTATGCTCTTAATTATGACAGAGACTACCAGATAGAGACCAATGTTACTAGGGTAAGAAATAGTCCGGGGAGCTATGTGCTATGGGAGGAGTGACTATAAGCAGCCTAGTGGACTAAGCAGAAGACAGAAGCCATCTTCATGCCTATTGCAGAACCATAGGCAGATAAATGGGTAACCATAGCAGTACCAGGGCATTAGGGCTGTGTGAAACATCATTGTTTCGTTCTGACAACTGTTTCACCATTTCGAAGGGACAGTGTTTCGTTTAGTTTTGAAGCACTGTCCCATTTCGTTTAGTCGAAACTGTTTCGCTGTTCTGACTCATTACGACGTTTTGCCCATAGGCTATAATGGGGCTTCATGAAAATTTCAAAAATGTTGTCATTTGTTGCCTGATTCAGATGCAAATTGCAGGGATGGTACCCCCTTCTGAGGGTATAAAGCCTCCCAAGTTTCAAGGAGATAGGTGCAGAGGTTTCTCAGAAACTGCACCTCCAAGTCTTGAAAGCAAAATTTGCTGGCAGCGGCAGCCTCCTGCCATCTGGCGCGCAGATCTGAGGGTTCGCACCCCCGAGAGGGCTGCGGGGCTGTGCTGGACTCCTCCCGGGAGTGTGGGACCTTGGATCTGCGCCGGATGACAGGAGGCTGCTGTTGCTGCCTGGGATGGGCACTGGGCACAGCCTGCACCCAGCTCTGGGGAAGACAGATGCTGCTGCCGGCCACAGGCAGCAGCAGCAGCCTCCTGTCATCCGGGTTCAGATCCGCTGGGCTGAGCTACATGGGGCTGCGGAGCCACTCAGAGCGCAGCGCTGGCTCTCCCCTGCCTCCCACCTCTGGGCTGCTTCAGAACTCGAAATGTTTCAAAACTTTTGAAACATTTCGAGTGCCCTCTTTTTTTTTCAAAGCTGTTTCAAAGCTTTTTGTTTTGTTTCAATTTCACTGTTTTGAGCTCAAAACACATCAAAACAGCTTTGAAATGAAACACTTGGCAAAATTTTGCACAACTCTACAGGGGATGTATCATAGACGGAATGAAACAGTTATTCAAAATATCAATAAACATGCTAGATGAGTGTACCAATGAAGTTAAGCCAGCATAAAACTGGGCATCCTAAACAGGAATTTTTGGTGACCAACTTTAGGCACAAGTCACCTTATTTTCTGAGATGTTGAGCAAATATGACTTTGGTTTTTCAACTCTAGTTACATTTGGTGAATGTTAACTTAACTGTGAAACTAGCTGACTCGGTATATGAGTTCAGTCAGTTAATGACAAATATTTTGGTGTATATAATAATTTTAAAGGAGAACACTTCTTAAAGGCTGGAGCATCAGTTAAACTACAATAAGAGAAATGAACAAATAAACATACAAAGTTTTTCTGAGAGAACAACTACTGTATTTACCTGAATACAAGACAAAGTCCCGCCCCCCCTCCCCCCCCATAAACACGGGGGAAAAAAGTTTCTCATCTTATATTTGCATGTGAGGAAGCATCATTAAATATAATGTCTATCATTAAACAGCAACCAAAAGCAGCACGGGCTCATTAATGGAAACCAATTATGAAGATGATTAAATGCTGCCAACACTGAACATGACTATAAAACACATGGGCTAGATACGATGATCAACGAGTTGGTACACCCAGAGTAAGGCCTGTCCCTTGCACTGTGGGCAGGCTGACCCCTGCAAGTTTCTCTGAATGCGGGAAACTCGACTGCACAATTTTGTGGCAATGGGAGATTGCATTCATGCTTCTCTCCTGGCTTATTCCTTGGCCTTTTGGCTAGGAGCAAGTGAGAGAAGGGACCATCTGAACCCCAAGGCCTCTGGGCTTAGGGCTTACAGGTAGGATGCCTGCCATGGATTTAGGAAGTATCCAAAGCCAAGACTGATAGGTCTGGGAGACAGAATACTTGCCTGTTGGTAGAGCCACATAGTTTTGAATGATTGAGCTCTGCTCAGTTGAAATTTGGAACTTGACTATTAGGCTTTGCCCAGTATAATGCAGAACTGATTTGACCCTTGAAACAATTTTTTTCTAAAAAAAAATGGGAATCTTTGACAAGGACAGATTAGTGCACCCCATTTCCAATGATTCCCATTTCTTCAGCAGCCTTAAATGTCTGGCAAACATCACCAAATGAGGCCCCAAATCCCCCCCGGAAGCTTCTGCCTCGCAGAGTCTTCTGGGCTGGGACCTTGGGGCTGTTTGTGCCTCCTTGCTCCCAAGGGAAATTGAAGGTGGGGGGAGGAGGGAGGCAGGGGAGGGCTGCAGGGATCACCCTAGTCCTCAGAGCTGGTTTGGCTGCTGCTGAGTCCCGTGGTCTGGCCATGCATCCAGGAGGCATGTGGTGCAGGAGTGGCTGGCAGGCAGGCAGGAGAGCAGTGAAAGTGGCAATGAGGGGTGGGGAGGGGGAAGTGGCAGCGAGCGGGTGCACATAGTGCAGTGACAGCTGGGTGGGAGCGTGGGGCCCACACTGGTGTCCTGGGGTCAGTGCCTGTGGGGCCCAGAGTGGGGTGGCAGGAGTATGGGGCCTGGGCCGGCAGAGGCTCTGGAGCCATGCTGGCTCCCCCCTCTCTCTGCTGGCACAGCCTGGCCCGGTTTCATTTAGCCCTGCTGGCCCAGGCCTCACCCTCCTGCTGCCCTGCCCTGGGCCCTGCCAGCGCTGGCTCTGGGACACTGCATGGGCCCTATGCTCCTGCCCAGCTATCACTGCAGTTCACCTGCCCACTCGCTGCCATTCCCCTTCTACCGCTGCTTTCAGCACTTCCCTGTCCACTTGCCAGCTGCTCCTGCACCACGTGGCTCCTGCCTGCATGACCAGACCATGGGAGCACAAGGCCCACACTGGTACCCTGGGGCCAGGAGCGGGAGGGTATGTGTGTGTGTGTGCCTCCATGCAATGAGGGAGAGACAGAGTGTGTGTGTGTACAATGAAGGAGGGAGGGACAGAATGGGTGTGCATGCAATGTGAGAGGGAGGGACAGAGTATGTGTGTGTGTTTGTAGGGCGAGTCCCACATGCACACCCCACCATATACCTGACCCACAGCTTCCCTCGCACTGCCATGCACACAGACCCCTCAGACCCCATACCCACCCACACACCACATATCCACATACACCCCCACATGCTTCCTCACCCTATGTCCCACATACTCCCACAGCCCCCCACAAACTTATACCCCCCCATACCTCTAACCCCCCAACAATATACAAAAGTAAGACTTCATTTTAAGCTACTGTGCAATCACCTCTGTGTACACTACACAAATGCATGTAAAGCAGGACAAACATATTTTTGGGATCAAATTAATGAAGGTTGTAGTTGTTTTATTTTTAGACTATAATTTGACATTTTTCTGGTTCTGAGACAGCAAAACCTCTTGCTGAAAGAAGTACTTCTGGGGGCAAGGGGAGGGACTTCTGGTGGCAAAGGTCAGTGGCTAGAGGGTGGGACTTTTGCTTACAAGGTGGCAACCAGGGAGTGGAGCACCTGTCAAGGACTGGGGATACCCACGCAGCCCTCGACAGCTTGCCAAATTTTTGTAAGTGGCCCTCCGCCCGAAATAATTGCCTGTCCCTGGTTTATACTATTTATAAGTAGGTACTTACCTTGCAGGGGAAATACTGTGATGAATCAGGTGGTTTTCCTACTTGCAGGGGAAAACCACTTTCTTACCAGGGGGTAAGTCATAGGTAGTCTTTCACTTTCACTTCCAGTGGGAAGATCCTGGCTATATGCCAACTTTAAGGGAATGGGAGACTCCTTCCTAGCTTATTTCTGTGGCCATATGGCTGAAGGCAAGCACAGCTCCAGGGCATCCACACCCCAAGTCTCTGGGATTGGACCCACACATAGGATGCCCACCAAAAGATTTGGAAGCATCTGAAGCCCCAGGTCGGGGTGGAGGATGTTTGCTGGTAATAAGGTCACATTTGGTTCTTTACTGACTCACGGATTTGGAATTGATTTGGCTGATTTGACTTGAAACACAAAAAATTTTCCTTAAAAAGAAAAAAGTTTATACTATTTATAAGTAGGTACAAAAGTGCTGCTTAAGTATGTTTATGGAGTATGTGTGCTAAAACTTGCAGCGGTTTCAAAAGAGGCAAAATGCATCAATTCTGGATAAACTAAGTCTATGGGTGCCTATGGTAACTTTATACAAATTACTGCCAGTATGTTTACTTTAAAGTCAGTGTTTTCAAATTTGCCCCTCATTTCCATGTGCTCAGGGAGACCGGGACCTAACAGTATGGCTCAGGGGGAGGGGCCTGCAGGGGGAAGAAGTTGGAGGGGGAAGAGGGTAAGGGGGCTATTTGACCTCCCAGTGTTATTTTTCCTGTTCTAGTGGTAGGAAGGAGACAAATTCAAGACAAACCTCCAATAATTAGATTCTATACATGGAAAATTATAACAAATCTATACATTTTCATATATAGAATATAATTATTGGGAGGAGGGCTCATCTTATAATTGAGTAAATTTGGTAAATAATATTAGGTATGGAAACCCTGCAAGTGAGGATACTGTTGACTTGCATGATGCCTATAACTACAGATCACAGTAACTCTTGCTACTTAGTTATCCATTATTATAAATATTACATCTATAAAATAGGACAAAGTAAATATAGATAACTCATGTTACTTTAGGTGACTGTAATTAAGATGCCATGAAATAAAAATTATAATGAATGAATATTAGATGCTGTTTTATGATTTGATGATGATAAGACAGAATGTTGTGCATATTTCTATCCCTGCCTTTCATTTGAGGAACTTGGTGTGTTTTAGAGCTGCCTGGACACTGTTGTAGCAAATCCTGCATCGTGGGGTAGGATCTTGAGCGAAAGCACTTGGTTGTGGTTTAACTGCTTTCACTGAAGTCAACACTCACTGGGTGCATTTACTTGAGACGCTGACTGCTCAGTAGCCTGATACTAATGTTCAGTAATGGTGCATGACAAAAATGGTGACGCAACGCTTCTGTGGAGTAGTATTAGGCTACTGCGCAGTAGCATCACAAAGAAGGCATTTGCCGGTGCTACTGCACAGTAACTCAGATTACTGCACATTTATTTAGTACGTGTTTATACAGAATTTGTTTATACAAATACTAAATAAATGTGCAGTACCACTGCACAGTAGCATCTCATGTAGATGTGGCCAGGATTGGCCTATCTTTACTCTCATTAATGTCAATACCATTGTATTGAATGGCAGTAGTGTTAGACCAATACTGGGAGCTTTTGAAAATTTTTCTTGTCCGTCTTTCAATCACAAGAACTCATTTTCTTCTAAGGTAATAGGCAGAACTATGGAGCAAGCAATGAGACTATCAGGTGGCAAGTGCAAGTACTTGTTTTACATAGTGCATAATTAACTCATGACCATAGGGCATTATAGAAGTTACATTTTTTTGTAGAAAACAGATCCATTGGGGGGCTAGTAAACTAGTCAGGGATGTAATTTCAAGCTTAGGCCATCCCTAAACCTATGACTGCTGCTAATTGGTATCATCTGAAAGATCTGTTTTTTTTATGCTCTACCTTTGTCATCTGCTACTTGTCTCTGTGGGATATGTGACACTGAGTTCAAGTATAGTAGTTCTTATGTAAAGTTCATTTAATTTATCCAGCAAGTGATGCCATGAGAAAGTGTAGCTGAGCACTCTCGTTTGATCATTCACCAGATAGCTGCCACGAGATCTAGTTGCTAGGACCACAGGTTTTAAAATTTCTGGCATCCAAACAGAACCCAGGAACTGCCCCTATCCTGGGATCTTAGCTATAAACTCTGCTTGCTCATCCTCTCTCAACTCCTCTTCTACTTGCCTGATAGATGGAACATGGGGTCCAGCTGCTTGTTCCCAGAAACCAGTCCTAACTCTTCAGGTGCCCTGTATCTTTTAAACACACCCTTCCTGGAGTCCCACTAAAGGCATGAGTGTTGGGATTTACAGTTTAGTCTTCAGGAACCAGGGGATACCTATGAGCAAGCAGGCTTTCAAGGAATTTCTGAATATGCCATCTTTATGTAAAAAATGAGAAATACTGATAATTTAGAAAGCAACAAACTTCCTGAATGCAGTGCATTTGATACTAGCTCACCCATCCCTTGATGTCAGTCTGTGTTAAGGCAGGAAGCCCATGATCTGTCTTGTTCAGACTTGAATGACTGCTGCTAAACAAAGTCCCTTCCAATACAGAAGCTTATCCATCTCTTTCCTTCTCCTATTCGATACTTCCTTGGGTGTTGTCTCCTAGGGCATTCTTCTTTGAGTCCAGGGAGTCCAATTTCTTTGTTTCTTGTCTCTTGATCAGGTTGCTGATATTTCTCTTTTTTTCCCACTTCATGCCAACTTTTTGATAAAAGGAGACTGGATCTTCCCTTAGCTTGATTGCCCTAATTATTCAGCTTGAATACATGTTCAACAACCTTGCAAGAGGTAATTGTTCCAAAGGAAGAGAGAATCTGTCTGGAAACTGTCCCTTTAAGAGTCTCTTGCAAGAGCCAGGTGAAACCCATGGTTGTGTTTGTGCAGAGGTTCATGTTACACAGTGGGCCTGTCTACATGTGCACTTTAATGTGCAGGAGCCTATTTTACTGTGCATTAAAGCATTACATAAAAGCCATGCAATTACACTAATGTACAGTAAAATAGGCTACTGTGCATTTATCATCACTTAAAAACTATGCACATTCATTACTGCGCAGTGAGGCAGCTTAACGCACATTTCTTTAGTACATCAGG